GTTGGAAGAAATTGAACAATGAAAAAATAACACATGAAACATATGTCTGACAAAATCTACTAATCTGAATCTGATTTTATTTGCTCTTTGCATTGGACCAAAGGGGACCAGCTTGACAGGTCTTGGGAGATGTGGAGCAAGATGTTCGATCATGCATGTCATCAAGTCATCAAAATTCCAAAAAGGAGATAAATAACAGCAAATTAAAATTAACATGATTTCGATTTGGCCAAGTGGCACTTCCGCCAGTGACGCTCGAGGCCGTGGCAAGACCTCAATCAGAACGCTTCACAACAAAGTGAACATATAACATATATAGTAGTAAATGATACATGGATGCATCAAATCCCTTTGTTCTTTAGACGCTTAGACCGGTTTTGTCTTTTGCTGAGAAGGGGGGGAACGAAAGCCAGCAGCCGCCAGACGAGAGGGTCATTTGCTACATAGCAAAAGGTTCGGGAGAAGTTGCGGGGCAGGTCCATGAGGAGGTTCTGGAGAAGGTTCCGGAGCAGGTTCCAAAGCAGACAAGGCTCTAGAGGAGGGCTTGGACAGCGAAGAGACTGTCTCAGTGGCGCTTCTTGCTGTTGGGGACTTTCCTTGGGCTTATGCCACTGATCCGCCTAAAAAATAATCATACGTCGCAGCTACACCCTCTTCCCAGAGACATAGAGACACAGAGTCATAAAAGACAGAGACATCAAACACAGAGAAGTTGCTATGTAGAGGGGGTCCTTTTCTGATAGCAACTTGTCGCTGCCAACCAGTTACCATACTTGCCCCAATACATCCAAGGAGATTTCTCTGACAGGATGACTAGGAGGATGGCAGGAACTATATGTCTCAAAGTATGGCATAGGTCCGTGACTATAACCAATCCTTAAGCAGCAAGTTCTTCACGCCACCACACCAAGTTGCAAGCTACACGGGCCCCTGTTCTGATAGTGACTTGTCGCTGCCAACCAACAACCTCTATCTATTCTGTATCTATCTAGCTGCGCGGCCAAGCCGGAACAACGTTCGGTGCACGTGGACGCTGCGAGAAGCATCCGCTCGACAGTACAGGTATAGTAGAGACTAGGATGGTTGCTCTGTACATGGATGCCTATCTCCACTCCAGTGCTGAATGCCCATTATCCAAATAGCCTTCACAGACCTTCGTGATGCTAATGATGCACTACTCGGCGTCCATTGCATCACTCGCATCACCAGACCCCATGTTCACTGCTTTTCTGACCCTCGCTTTGGAGCGCTCTCCCCAGGCAAGCTCCAGATGGTGCCTTTTCGTGGCCTACCCCCCCACACCCCCTTTTCTCACTTCGTTCGGTCTAAGAGCTCAAGCCTAGCCTATCGGCTGGCTTTCGTAATGAAGACATGTATCAAGCGGAGGTAGGCTCTCCACATTTTGCGTATTCCAAGATCTCACGTGCCAAAATCACGAGGAAATGCTAAAGTATGGCATGGAAAACACTGTGGTTTTCGTCGGGAAGGCACGTTGTTGGGGTGCAGTTTGGTGGCATATGCGAAGTGCAATTTTGTGAAGTGTATTAGTCTGGTGATGTGTTTTGTGGTGATTTGTGAGTGACGAAGCTGACCGTGGCGTGCCTATCACCAGGGTTTCATATCAAAACTGTGCCGCACACTTCCGCACTGCAAAGGTTGCTATCCTTCATCACTCACCAAATCACAACCTGAATATCATCTCACTCATCTCACCACACATCATCACAACATAAACATGTCTCCACGTCTACACTTCACTCCAACATCAGAAGGATAAACGCAGCCTACAAGTGACTGCCTCTAACCCACTAGCGATCAACCTCCTAGCGATGGCCTCCAACCTACTAGCGATGGCCTCCAACCTAGTAGCGATTGACTCCAACCCACTAGCGATGGCCTCCAACCTAATTGCAATGACCTCCAACCTACTAGCGATGACCTCCAACCCACTAGCGATGGCCTTCAACCTACTTCTCAACTACTCCAACACGTAAGACACGTCCACCTTGGGCCAAACATTATGCAAGGCTTTTGTCCCAAGACCGCACGGTGCAACGGCAACTCTGATTTCTCATCGTTTCTAAGTGTTCAGCTGGACTTTGGGATAGTCAACAGCTCCTGGCCTGGCACCAACATCTCTGTTGAAGCAAGTGAACAAAAAAAGAAACTGTGGCAAAAGAAGCTAGTAGAAACAAGTGCCTTACTAGTAGTAACAAGAAGCTATTAGGAACAAGTGCCACGCTAGTAGTAACAGGTGCCTTACTAGTAACAAACGCCCACAGAGCGATCCTCCAACCTAATAGCGTTTATTTTTCCTTTACCAAACATGTTGAGACTGCTGATTTGGTCATGGACAACACTTTTACAAGGCTTCCAGATGCTTCCAGTACCTTGAAAACTGAGATCATAGCAATGGCCTCCAACCTACTAGCGACTATTACTGTAAAAAAAAATCCGTCTGATCCAAGTCTCTCCAAGTACCGAATGAATTCGCCAAAACAGGTTCAAGGAGCAATTCCCGGCAGCATTCGGTGGGATCACAGACCTCGGGTTGCAGAACCCCGACTTACTAAACGGTACTCCGGACCTCTGGTTCCAAAAGGCGCTCCGTTTGAAAAAAAGAAACCTAGCAATGGCCAACTTAAGAGCTCTCCAACCTAGCGATGGGCGATGGCCTCCACCCTAGAAGATTTGAAAGCAGGAAGTAGCTTCGACAATAGTAGACACGGGGTAGACATAGACTGTCGACGGAGCAGTTTAGACAAGTCCAAGGCTGACGGCTCCTTTGGAGTTCTGACGGTTCCGTCTGAGGCCGACCTCCGTCGCACACTTCATGCCAATCATTCCATGTATCGCCTCATAGCCTCAGGAACATATGCAGACTGGGCGGAGATTGGAACATGAGTACTGAAGAGAAGAAGAAGCAACAAATGCAAAATCCATCTGACCCTTTTCTTCTCCTTTCGAAATGCCATGTTTGGCTCAGCTTGAACAAACATAGGCTACCCAGAAGTGCCCCACCTTGACCACAAACGTCAGGACTACACGTCGCAGATGGGAGGCTCACGCCGTTGCAGAACCTCAAATTCGCGCGAGTTCATAGAACTCAGATGCGCATGATGCGCACAAAATGCTTCGCTTTGGTTGCTTACCTTTGCTTATCTTTGCACTGCGACTCTCAAAAGGAAGGGTTGTGCTCGAGTTATGCTCTGCTTGTTGAAGCCCTCGCACTATTCATTTGGTTCCTAGATGTTGGGGGGAAACTGTCCGGAGTGGACAGGAAAGTCTCCTAACTGCCTAACGATGTGAGCTGGGGCTTCAGCAATCAGTTACCTCTCCAGCACAACATTAACTCTGTGAAGACACTTGTGGGTGTCAGCTCAGAATGGTCCGGAGTATTGTGCCAAGCAGGCTTGCAGCTAGACTGTGTTGGACAGGGTTTGAAGAAGAAACTAGAAGCTCGAAAGCATTGTGATCTTGAGATGGTCCTCTGGATGAAAGAGCCGTACGGCATGTTGGCAAGTTCATGTTTCTTGCAGGCAGGTTGAGAGTTCGAATGTGTGCATGTCCTGACAGAACGGTGCAGCTATTGTACTGCCCATTATTTTGGAGGCCATCGCTATTAGGTTGATGGCCAGGTGTGTTCATCGTCCAATTGACCGACATTCCATGGCTCCGCACGATCCAGAGAAGTAGAACCTTTGGCTAAAGCCGCGGACCTGAGATCCAGCAAAAGCATATGGAACAAACGAAAGCCGTGCATAAGTTGAAAATATCCGCAGAAATTCGAAGTAAGAACTACTAAGCTCACATCTTTCTTACGGTCTTTAGATGTCTTAAGACAATTAGTATTCAGTATAGTTGCCATCCTTTTAAGCCTCGGAGACAACGTCACTGGCTCTCACTGTTCAGTGGCGCCCTCTCAGCTCCGAACCCCCGGCACTGACAAGGCCACTTCCATCTCTGAAGCCTCACCAAAACGTTTTTTGACGTGTCGTCAGGGCTAGGCATCACTAGGAGTAGCTGATGGTGGCGATGGCCTCCAACCTAGTAGCTAGGTATGAAGAGGACACAGTAGCTAAGTCAGCTAGAAAAGAGGACGCAGTAGAGCCGTAGAAAAGGCATTGGAAATTCACGAACAAACCACGTCCAACTTTGTCCAAGGCCTAACGACACATGTGACACATGCCAGGACCATCTTCATCGGGTGACACGACAGGATAGCTCTCACACTGATGAAATATGCCTCTGTTCAGCCACTAGCTGCTCTAGCTTTGCATTCAGCTCACTAAGTCTTGGGTCCACTTAAGTCTTAAGTTTCCCTAAATATCTAGGAACCCAATCACTAGTGCGAGTGCCTCTTCAAGAAAGCTCCCCCCACCCTCAGGCCGGGAAGTTTCCTTGAAGCGTGAGCTATCCTGCGTCTTAGCATAGCTAGTAGCTTACTAGCAGCTACTAGCTACCTCGGCCTAACCCCCTGGGCTAAAAAAAATGTCTTTGTACGGCCGACAAACTGCCCAAGGCCTGAGAAAAGAAGAAGGTCAATCCACAGTCACCACTGGCCAAGGCACTTTGACCTGGAAAATGATATACACGTAAAAACATATTTTAAAATGATATGCCTATCTCTAACATTTGTGGATTATCCACTCAAATGAACCTTTTTGGACTATTCGACATCTCTGCCTGTCTTTGGTGGATATACAGGATATACATTGCTCTGCAATGTCCCTGAATTCAGGCTTGTGAAACTGAAAAGTGCATGCTGGTGCATGCTGCAGTATCTAAAAAGAACTACCACCTCCCCCACCTCACCGCCTCACTTAGTCCAAATATATGCAAATTACACGAGCGTACGGCGGGCATCATAAGGCATACCACATGTGCAAACTCCCGAGGCGGAGGAACCCGTGAAAAACTGGCAGTTCGATCAGGTCCACCAGAGGCCACCTTGATCACCTGCACTCGGCACTGGTGAAAAGCACGCAATCACAATGCTGCTACAAGATGTAGTCACACATCGCATTCAGGTTGGAGGCCATTGCAGTTAGGTTGGAGGCCATCGCTATTAGGTTCACATCGCATTCTTGCATCCAAGCTACATGCGATGTAGCTGACCTGGTCATGTGTTGTGCGGAGGAAAGTTGCAACGCTCCACCAGTAAAACAAGAGCACCGCTTCATTCTGCTCTCTCCTTCATTCCATTTCATCCCCCCGTCACTTGTCATTCCCGCTTTCAGAGCAGTCATCCATTCTATCGCAAGGCTAAAGTTGCTGCTCAAAGGTTCGAAACTCCTTTCTCTCTGTTTAGAAAGCTGTTCTCGCCATGCAAGCCCGGTACCATTTGCTAGTTGATAAACTCTCTCTGTCTCTAAACGTCTGGGATTCCCGGCTGGGCTCAAACTTGTCTCAAGCTTCGCTGTGAAATCTGCGATACAGATCTCATCCGGGCAGCGGATGCAATGCCATTCGCGGTCCCCGAAGTAGGGATAGGAGAAGGCCTTCCACGGCGGGGCGAACCCCAGCAACCTCTTGGAGGCAAACAAGTGTCTTGTTAAGAAAATGAAAGACTCGCACGAAACCTTTCTCGCGGCGGCTCTAGGGATCCCTGGTGATTTGAGGGTGAAAATAACGGACGGCGATCGACCTTCATGCCATGTGCTCATGAAATTTCAACTCCACTGCTGCTTTGGGCTCTGCTCTCGTGATTCAAACAGTGGATGCAAATCTTCTTAGAAAACGGCTTTCCATGGTTGAGCCCATTGCAATTCGGTCGAAGGTGGAAACAAACACCGGTATTGGTGATCCAAATCTTCTCAGGAACTCGATTGGTTCCTCGGCTTCGGGCCTCTGGCTCGTGGCCAATCGTACTCACTGGAGTCGTGTCCTCCAGATTCAAAGTTCGCTCCATGCCGGGACTCCGACATGAATCTCTCAGGCGTTCTGCTCATTCTCCTTGTCATCGGAGTTGCCGTAGGCGAATTCAGCGAGGTAGGCATGGCCTCCATCGGTGTACTCATTGATTTCATCGCAACACGACACAAGCAGGTGACCAGGTACTCCAAGGTACGCAAAAGGATGAAGGTGAGCGGGATGAAGAAAGGAAAGCTCCATGACTCTCCCCATGTGGTCTCTGGTGCCTCTGAGGTTGCTGCGTGAACTTGTGAGGTCAAGGCGGTCATCGCCAACAAGGTCCTTGTCACAGGTTTGGCTGCCAAGCCGAGCGTAGCAAGCATCGCGGTCTTCTGCATTGAGACTTTTGGTCGTCCCTCATATGCTTCCTTCCAGAGGCTTGCATCATCTTTGAACAAATCTTCTTCTTGTAGTTCATGAAGTACAGGCAAGCGGCGCATCAATGTTGGATGCTTGGTGACATTGCCAAACTCAACATAGCCGGTGCTGAGAAACTGGAAAAGCTTTGGCGGGTTCATGACCTTGGTTAGGCCATCTGCCAACATGAATTCTGTTGGAGTCAACATCAGAAACCTGATCCTGCCAGTAGCTCTTGCCTCCTTGAACGCAAGCACGTACAAGCGTTGAAGCTTGTCCTGAGGTACTGAACGTTCACCTGTAGCCAACTCCAAGAAGTCGCGGCAGTCTCTTGCACTGTCGACAGGGAAAAGTGATGAGCCCTGCTCTTGGTACGGCGTCAGCGTCTGTAGTGAAGGATTGGGGTCTGCAATCCATAGCTCAGTGAGGCGAACTGCCACCATGCTGCTGCTTTCAAGGCCTCCAATGGCTGACAATGTCTCAGCATGTGAGGTGCTGTAGGACACTCGTTTAGCTTTGCCTCCGTGGTTGAACAGGAGGTGGCCATAGTCAGACACTTTGGAGATGTCCTCATCTGAACATGTGACATCATCTTGACGCAGGATCTCGTCGGGCAGCTCGGGCATGAGGAGGATCATCATGCCTTCCTGGGCGTAGCTCTTTCCTTTGCTGGCTGAACTAGCATCATGAATGCATTGAATACGAAGGCCAACATCAGGAGGAAAATGTCGGAAATGAAGCCCAAGATTCAATTTGTCAGCTGTGCATGCTTTCTTGGCCAACTGATTGGCTTGACGAAGATCTCTCACCCTTGCTTTGGTTACCACACTCTGCAGGGTGCCAACTTCAGAAATGATGTCCAATCTCGTGCTGCGCAGCCACAACAATCCTCCAAGCACTGAACGGAACTGCGTCAGCTCACTAGGTGTGAGTGCCCGGTCATCAGACCCTTCTGGATTGTCTGAGGGTTTGAGCTTCGATGCAAAGGTGGATTGGTCCATCTTCAACCCAGTGGGTGTCTTGCTATATTGACAGCCGCAGTGTTGAAACGGCAAATGTTCACGTGAGATGGAACCAAACTCTTTGCACATCTCCCGGTAGAGCTCTTCCTTGAACTTTGAGCAGCCAACAACAGCTAGATCATCTACATGAGTGGTCATCGCTCCTTTCAGTGGTGTCGAACTGGACGGATCTTTCCAGAAGTAAAAGCTGTCGTCCAACTTGCTGCTATGACCTTTGTTGCGCTGGAGAAACTGTCCAAGGCTCAGTTGCCAGGCGACAGGGGCGTCATTCAAGCCGTAAATGGGCTTGTTGCACCACAAGCCATACAGTGGAATCTCCCATGGTTCCAGATGAAATTCTGGATCTGCCGTAGCCAGGTGGCGCCAAACATTCCATGGAGGAATCAAAACCACTGCTCTCGTTGGAGACTTGATGCCCTGCTTCAACATTATCTCTCTGAAGCGGTCAAAGGTCAATCCTTTGAGGAAGGCCCCACTGACGTCCCAGCTTTCAGGATCTTCACGCATCACGGCGGCAGTTGACAGCAGCATTCTCTGTGACAGTCGTGATGCCGCAGTGGATCGAGTGGCTAGGAAGTCTTTCTGAGGATCGAAACATCCTCTGGCACACATGCGGGATTTGATGATCCGCTGATTGCCCTTCCATTTCCATCTGCGGACCCATGTGCCATCTATGATCACGACAAAGGCTTTCTCGCTAACGAACTGAGCGATCTCCTTCTCATCTGCAATCTCGACCTCTGGCCAAATTGGTGGAAGGTCCTTTTCAGCAATGCTGTCTTCTGCAGTGACTGATGCATAGCTTCCAACGGCATGGGCAGAAAGCTCAATGAAGAAAGTCCAATGCTTGCTGCCATACTAATCCACCAACTTGGAACATTTGGTGCGAAGATTGTATTCGTGCTTGTTCTGGGAATTCTCCATGACCATCTTGAACGTCATTCCAGTGAACCACTTTGGAACCTTGTAGTAATCGGCCCATAGGTCCTGAGTATGCAGTCGGTGCTTACGTTGCCTGTCCATGAGCCAGTGAAGAGTGTGCAGATTCTGGTGGTTGGTGTTGACAGTCGTGAAGTTGCCCTCCAACCTGCTCCTCTTTGGCTCCTGCTCAGGATGTAGGACCGGTGATGCTGGTTCCTCTCTCTTCTGTGGCAAATGAGGAATGACTGATGAAAGCTCATCTTCCAACTCCATGCGTTGAGAAGGTTCTGGTGGTACATGAGGAACACTGGTAGGCTGTGTGACTCAGCCTTCATCTTGGAAGTGGTCTTGGCTTCATCCTCAATGAAATTGGGATAGTGGTACAAGTAGATGACGCACAGTGAGTCCCAGTGTGATTCGTGGATCTTGTTGAGCTTCATCTGAAGGTCATTGGTCTTGTTCATCTTGACAAAATTTCCTGTGCCTTTCTGCCAGACAAAGACGGTGCCATAGGTGCCTGGAAAAGGTGTCAACGTCTTCAGGCCCTGACCATAAACCAGTCCGTGGATCGGATGCTGAGTCCAGCTCTGCCAGTCAGCGAAGTCTTTCATCAATTGTTGTTGTTCTTCGTTTGGAGGTAGTGGAATGCTCTGCCAGTTGATGCCAGATGAAGTCGGAACACGTTTGTAGCCAACAACGATTGCTTGTATGGCTGAACTTCTTCTGTCATGGTCATCAGCTTGTATAGGCTGGTGCCCGTGTAGGAGTCCACATTGTAGAAAACGCCCTTCGATGGTCTGACAAATCGCAGTGGCATCAGGTAAGGCTTTCCTTGGTGCTTGACAATGGCAGTTCCTTCTTCTTGATCCGCTTCAAGAAGTGTGGCTGGACCTCTCCACGCTGCATCTCTGTAGATCTCAACAGTGCTGGTGCCTGGAACAAGCTCTGTGGTATCCACTCGATGAGAGCGGTGAAGAGTGGCACGTGTCAAGCGATCTTCAGCCAGTGACTGCTGGATTGCAGTGAGAGCAATTTGACGAAGCCTTAGTGCAGTTTCGAAGACAGTGGCATCTCGATCTGCTGCTCCAGTGATTGCCGTCATCTGTGGAGTCTCAAACTCATAGAAGGCTCTTGGAACCACTCCAAACACTGCCACGCATGGAGAATAGCCTCCGTAGATCAAGCAAAGATTATGACTCATGCTTGACTCGGCGGCCACATCTGAATCCTCCACCAGAAGACCTTGTCGATCACATTCGGCCTTCACCTTCTGCATGGTCAGCTTGATCAAAGCAACATGTCTTTCCACAAGGCCGGTGCCGGTATGTTGTCGTCCAGCTTCTCCTGCAGTGGTTCCTTTTGGATTGCGTGTCACTCCAAGGCGTTCAAATTCGATGGCAGCTGTGGATGACATAATGGCGCTCTCTTGATCCGAGGTCAAAACTCTCATAGGACCAAAAAGATGGAAATCCATCTGTGAAGAAGTCCTTTCAGCAGTTCACCCGTCTCTCGACTCGGTGTCTCATAGGCGATCTTGTAGCGGGCGGCGACGTCGATCAAGAGAACAAATGGTTTGGACCACAAGTAGAAAATGTCCATCTCCACCTCATCTCCAAAATGGGCAGCCAACGAAATCTTGCTCTTTGGTCGTGCAGGTAGTCGAGAGTGCTTCCTGCAGATCGTGCAGTTGGCAACTGCTTCATGGGCCATTTCCACCACAGCAGGAGGCATGCCTGCTCTCAGCAACAGGTTCGCCAGATCTGTCGCATTGGCACGCCATAGTCGTTCATGAAGACCAAGCAGCATTCTCTTGGCATTCACAGTGTCCTTGCTGACTTCTTGCGGTAGACGATGAAGGACTCTTTTGATGCTGTAGAGGGGCTTCATGGTGCGCAGCTCTATTGCCTTGGAAGTGCCCACTTCATCATATGGTTGTACTGCCAAAGGTGCAGCTGGTTCTTCTGGTTGAGCAGCATCAGCAATGGCAGGTCTTGGCGTAGATGGTGCTGCAACTGCTGGTGTGCCAGGAGCAGGTGTTCCAGGAACCTTCGTCGATGGCGGCACATTGTTGCCGAAGAAGGTGATCATCCAATGCTCTTCATCAATGGCTTCTCGTTGTTGGGCTGGAGAAAGTTCTCTCAGATCCTCAAGAGCATAAAGTTGCCAGCTCTCATAGGTGCCACGACAAATGAGGCGAAGTGGCGCATTCTCTGCTGAGAGGTGTGGTTCTGGAAAAGCCTTGACGAATGGATGTAGTGTCACATGTACTCCATGGACATGCATGATCTTCTTCAGGCAATGCTTGACGGCCATCAGCAGAGATGGATCAGTCAGCCAGTAGATGTAGTCTTCACCTTTGGCTTCATCGAAAACAGCTAAGCTGGACTTGATGATCTCACACATGAGGTACTTGATCCACACTGCCTCCTCCGCAGTGAAGTGAAAGTCCTCGGGGTAGTTGAGCTCAACCTTCTTAGCCAATGCGTGAGATTTTGCTGCTCGCTTGAAGTCCTCCAGTGGATTAGCTGCCATGCTTGGTGTCGCTGGCGCTTTGTCTGGATGTCTGCCATAGCGACATTCTCCAGGAATGAAGGAGTGCTCCATGAATGGTAAAGCAGCTCTTCCCATAGAGCATCGCTCACACTTGTAGAAGATCTCCACATGGCATTCAAGCGATTGGGTCGAAAGCTGCCTCGCGGTTGTAGGTGGTAGAGGATGTCCTCAACGATCGCCCGGCAGAATCTCACAGGATAGACGGCAGCCATTGCAGTCCGTGAGATTCCTCGGTGTTGTCCTTGAAGTGGTAGATGAGGTACTCCTCGATGACCATTGCAACGCTTGAGACTAGCTCTCAGCTTGAAGTTGGCTTCTAGACCAGTGGCCTTCAGGATCGGTTGCCTGTTCTCTGCACATGCTCCAAAAGCACATTGATCAGTGCGCTTGGCTCGTCGATAAGGTCTTGTTCTCGGTCATGATGCTCTCAGTCCATAATGCTGAACTCCATGGGTGTTCCAGCAAGTAGATCTTCTGACGAATGGTCTGCTGGTACATCTTGTCTTGCAGATAGACCAAGGCTGGCCGTTCTGATTCTCGATCCTTCATGAGCTCTTGTCGATCTCTTCTTGAAGACGAGATGCTCCAGAACTTGCAGCAAGGTGAGCACAGTAGGAAGCCAGGGCAGCGCGTCTCATAGGCCTGATCGAGCATCTTCTGATGATCTGGATGCGCAATGTCCCAACCATGCCACTTGACCTTCTTGCGACGCGCTTCACCAAGCCAGGTGTTGAAGTTCTGTGGTGTGACAACTCTCTTGCCAGATCGAGTGTAGTATTCTTCCGGCATTGCCTTGTAGTCCTTGTGAAGCCGTGTCAGGTCACTCGAAGAGAGATACGAGGGAAAATCATCTCTTGCATACAATGGAAGCTTGTCAAAACCAGTGCCAAACACTTCATCAATTGCTGTGGACACAGGCTCCTCCGATGTGCTGGATGGTGTCATCGCTTTGGTCATTGACTCCTCAGTTGGGCTAGATGATGTTATCGCTGTAGAGATTGCCTCCTCAGATGTGCTATCTAAAGCTTTCTCAACAGCCTCTGTAATCTCAGCCTCATGGAAAGTGTTATCTGCCTCTTTTGAATCCGTGAGCTCACTGTCAGCGAAAGACACCTGTTTTGGAGAATTGGTGTCCTTGTTCTTGGGTGGCTCGTCGGACCTCCACTTCTGCTTCGGGTCTGCCTCGGTCTGAGTCACTGATTGCCAGAACGTGTAAGCGTGATCTGGCCATTTGGTCTTCGACACGTTGGAGAGATGTCGAATGAAGTGGCAAGCCTCATAGTGTTGACTTGGTACTTCAGCTTGCTCATCCAAAGGGAGGAGGTAGTGACCAGAATCAGTGAGAAGATATCGAAACAGATGCATTTCTGGTTTGACTGAGTTGTTGGTGTCCCAAGTCACTAAGAGGCCATCGTTGTTGTCAAACCATCTGGAGTGGAGCGATGCTCTCATTTCACATAGAGCAGGATTGCCAACCAGAGCCGGACAAAGCGAGCCTGCGTTCCCAATGACATCGGCCGTGTAGGTGGCCCCCAGGTCCTTCAGTGGCAGCTGCAAATGAACTCTGCCAAGAGCTTTATCTGGTTGTCCACTGATGCCGGTGATGGTGGCTTCAGAGTCAGACCAAGTAATTGCCTCTTCTCGGTGCGCATTGGGATAGCAGTGCTCGATGATGTCTCTCAAGGTCTCACTTCCAACTAGGCCGGCTGCTGCTCCTGGATCAATGAGAAGTCCTCGTCTCTTGTGACCTTGGACGGTGTGGAACACATCCGCTGAGGTGTGCAACGTTGTCGCGAAGTTCAGGCTTCTCTTGGCTGGATCAGCAGGTGGAGTGCTTGGTGTGGTGGCACTCTCTTCCTCAACGGGGGCTGATCCTCGCCAGGCAAAGAGCTCGCCAACTTGTCGTGGTGGACTCTCTTGTACAATCGTCTTGCTGGTAGTGGTGGATGAGGATGACCTTGTAGGTGAACTTGTTGCAAAGAGTCCATGGTCAGGTTGGCGTCGGTAGGCATAGTAGTCGTCATAGTAGTAGGGTTTGCCTTTGCCCTTGCCTTTGCCCTTGCTCTTGCCCTTGAAGCCTTTTCTGTTCTTGCCGAAGCCTTCTTTGCTTTTGCCCTTCTTACCTTTGCCTTTTCCTTGGAATCCTTTGCCAGGTGGACCGGAGTGTCCATGGTTCACAGGGCATTGAGCAGCTCGATGATACTTGGAGCCACAGACAAAACATCGATCATCATTGGTGCCCTGGTAGTCCTCGACGGCAGGTGCTTCTTCAGCTTCATCTCCTGCGGCCATATCGTAGTGTTCAGGGCTGTGCCATTCGGAAGCTGTGCCTTGTGCATCATACCATAGCTCCTCTTCTTCTCCCTCTCTCATCCAGGCGTCATAGCTCCATGCAGAGTCAGCCCAATGGTCGTCGACCCATTGATCATAGTACACGTCCGAGGCGTGCCATCCGTCCCATGTCCAGGAATCCCAACTGTCCTGGTAGTAGTCCTCGTAGGTGGTGTTGTCGGCCATGGAACCAATGGAGCTTGATGCGTAGAGATCGGTGGAGAACTGTTGATCTCCTCTGCTGCTGATGCGGAGAGAGAGTCGTCTGGCCTCATCGAACCTGCTCATATCTCCATGGATCTGCATCTTCACATCCTCAATGAACTTCACGGGCAATCCGCTGTTGCGGAAGAAGAGGTATGTTTTTGCGACGTTGTTTAGCTCCAAGCCCGCACGGACTTGAGCCTCCTCCAGACGAAGCTCCCATTCTGCCGCATAGTCCTGAAGCGACATTTTTCCTCTTCGAAGCTCAAAGAAAGCTTCCAAGGCGGTGGTCGTCATCTCTTGGTCGGACTGACCAAATGCGGCACGAAGAGCTGTCGCCAAGGCAGAGATGCCGCTCGGGATGTGGTGCTGCAAGATGACATTTGGATCCATGGGGTCACGGACTTCGTCCACTGACAGTCGAACTAAGGCGCTGTCGCCAATGTCGTAGTTGCCGTCGGGGCGGATGAGACGAAGGCTCAAAGCTATCTTTTGAGCTCTTCCTTGAAGGCGTCCAGCTACCAATGGTCCGACTGATTCGTCAGGTCCGTCGTAGATCCTATACCAGAGTTTCAGCTTGTCAAAATATTGACGAAGGGGATAATCTGGTATCCCAGGAGCCCAACCGGGCGGACAGTCCTTGCGGCACTCTTGCAATGGGACTCCTGTCGATGGCAAAGTCGCCATCGATGCTGAAGGACAGGCAAAGGTCCTGTACTGCTCCGACTTCAGGGTCGTGTAGTAGTGCAACTGGTGGGCGTCCTGCAAGGCAAGCGTCTTGCGATCGAGCTCGAACCTCACAGTCTTCTTGACCTGAATCGGGTAGCGCAGGGCTCTCTGGATCACGTGGTGGTCTACCGTCAGCTGGTAGAAGTGAAAGCAAGTGCACGCCACAAGCGTGATGAAACGGATGCCAGGAAGCAGAGTCGTGGTGTTCCTGGTCTTACAGCTCGTTCTCGAAGGTGGCCTGAGGTCGAGGTCAGGCAGCGCGGCAGCCACCGCGCAGAACAGCCTATGGCGCGCGGGAGCCCTGCGTGGTGCAGGGCTCCGCTACCAAACTCGCACGAAACCTTTCTCGCGGCGGCTCTAGGGATCCCTGGTGATTTGAGGGTGAAAGTAACGGACGGCGATCGACCTTCATGCCATGTGCTCATGAAATTCCAACTGAAAGGAAGAAAGGAAGAACAAAAGGTCATCCAAAGTACAGAAGAGAAAGAAATGAGTTACACCGGCATAGACCCATAGCAACTAACTCTTGACGGGGAGACAACTGGGGAGAGTAAGGGGAAAGGCAGTGACCAGAACGCCGATCGGCCACTTTAAGCTAGAATAAATGTTTATGAACAAGAAAAAGTCTCTAGGAACAAGTGCATCGCTTCTAGTAACAAGTGCCTTACTACTAGGAACAAGAAGCTACTAGGAGCAAAGGGCATCGCTACTAGGAACAAAGGACGCTACTACGTCGGTGGTTTGGTGCTTCCAAACCGTCCTTCGGCTCACAACAACCCACCTGGCGAGCCCAACACCAGGGGACCATGCCATCCCACATTGCTCTTGGAGCCCAGAAGGAGATCCTGGTGAAAAAAACATCAAAGCATTTCAACCTAGCGATGGCCTCCAACCTAGAAAGAATTTGAAAAAGCACAAAAGGTGTCCCGCCGTGACCGAGCTCAGTTTCACTTCTTTCACTCGTTCAACAGCTTCGTCTTTCTCCCGGTCCAGACAATGCAGAAGATGAGGCATGCCACACCCACGAAAAGGAAAGCGGCCTGACTTTCGCTGTTTGGGTCAGCCGTGTTTGGCTTTCAAAGTTCACCAAAGAAACTGGTGCGCTACGTTCGGGGCTCCTGGCCTTACTACTAGGAGCAAGAACCCTACTAGGAGCAAAGGGCATCGCTACTAGCTTGAAGAAGCATTCGCACTAATGATTTGGTTCCTAGATGTTTAGGGAAACTTGCCCTTTGGATGGCTTGACACCAAGAACATGCAATCTTCCTGTGTGACTGGGTGTCAAAGGTCGTTCATACTAAGGTGGGGAACGTCTTGAAAAAGCATATTCTCAATAAGGCCTAGAGACAAAGAAACAGAACCTACGAACAGTTAGAGTTTCTTCATGTTAACCAGCTTACCTTATTTGAAAGATGCTGGGAAGACCAATCCACTGAAGTTGACTCGTTGACAAAATCAAATCATGACCTTCATGCCTCCTGCTTTGCAAGAAAGTCTCAAGGCAAAAATTGCCGCAAAAACACAACAATGCAAAAAAAAACTTTGCAAGCATGCGAACGACAATGCTATGCCTTTGAAGTAGACGTCTAGTCACGTTGCACAGTGTCCCTAAATGGATCGGCCCAAATATCTCACCACTACTCTAGACCTCGCAGCCATTGCTCCACTCTTGTGCCACGAACTCCGCCTTCAGTACTTGTTCACACTTTGTCACTTTGACGTTCCGGACAAAGTGCACGCCAAAGATCAGCCCTGGCGTGTTTTTTTCAACAAAATGCTCAAGAAGGTTCGACTCCAACTGGATTTCTGGCTCAAGTTGCTCCCCTGTGCCTGCCAAATAGCCCCCAAAATGGGCTGCATGGCCAGTGACATCGTCTGGCTCCGCAATCAAGCTTGCGCCCACATCCAAACCAATACTCAGTGCGATCGATTCGGTGCCCTGAGGTGAAGTTCCGTTCCTAGTAGCTTCTTGTTACTACTGGTAACAAGTGCCACGCTAGTAGTAACAAGTGCCTTACTAGTAGTAACAAAAAAGCTATTAGTTTAATTTTAATTTGGTTCCAATAGCTTCTTGTTACTACTAGTAAGGCACTTGTTACTACTAGCGAGGCACTTGTAATTACTAGCAAAGGAATCGGGGGGGGGTAGCTACTAGTAGCTTCTTGTTACTACTAGTAAGGCACTTGTTACTACTAGCGAGGCACTTGTAATTACTAGCAAAGGAATCTACTAGGACCTTTTCCCGCGCGCGGGGGGGGTAGCTACTAGTAGCTTCTTGTTACTACTAGTAAGGCACTTGTTACTAGAAGCGATGCACTTGTTACTAGTAGCTTCTTGTTCCGTTGCATCCAGAAGCCCCTACCTAGTAGCGTCCTTGCTCCTAGTAGCGATGCCAGGATAGGGGCTTCTTGTATCCAGAACGTCAGAGTGCACACGGCGATTGAAATCCCTGTGTTTATTCAAGTTCAAACCAAGATGCAGCATGAGAAGTAGGATCACCCGAGGAATTCGCCACCTAAAGTGTGAAGAAGAACACGTTTCACCGTCTGTGTAGCAAAATCACTCATCTACGGTGCTTTCTGAATGAATCTGGTTGATTTACATTCTTGAAACCTCGACTTGGAGATTGTCGGTTCACGTTGTTGCTTTGCTCATCTTGGTATGGAAACACCCTGCTTCCTGGTAGGACCCTTTGTATGAGAATGTATTTGTATGCAGTACTAATTGTTGTTCTTCTTGGATCTTTTGACCGTCTTTTGTTCTGCCCGTCTTCCTTCTTCCAGTTTGGCCTTTGAAGCTTGGGAGAGTCTTCCCAAGAGGCCTGTGTTGCTTCCAATTCATGATCACATCAGCCATGTGCATCGCCTCAGGACGGTTTTCACGGGACAAAGCTGGAAACTTTGGGGAGGAAAAATGTGTGTACAATACATATTGTGTATATAGTATATATGCATATATATATACATGTACCATATGCTGTTTAACTTTGGCTCTTTGGTTCTTTGCTGCAAACAGCCTACTTCTGTGAACTTCTGTGTACTAAACGCTCTGTCACGTTGAAATCTCACATGCCCTCACCATGATTGGTAGAATTTCTTACGCGATCCCAAAAGGAAAAAACGAAGGAAAAAGGAGAGAGAAACGCCGGTTTAAAGGTCATAAGAAGGAAAGTAAGTTGATTGGACTGTAAGAAGAGAAAATCAGAAACAACATGTTTTCGCTATTTTTACGTTTGTCTAAGTGAACACGGACTGCCTCCTGATTTTAGATCCATGTGGCCATCAAGGCGTAGCAGCCAGCGGACATGCCGACAAGGCCCGAGTCATGGGGCCTTGTAAAGACATAGCGATGCACAAGGTCTGCTAGTAGCGTCCTTGCTCCTAGTAGCGATGCCAGGAGCCCCTAGTAGCTTCTTGTTCCTAGTAGTACGGCCAGGAGCCCCTAGGAGCGTCCTTGCTCCTAGTAGCGATGCACAAGGTCTCTTAAGAAAATATTAAACCAATATTCTTTTGAGGTAATAGCAATGGCCTCCAACCTGAGAGCGATGGGCCAAGTCACATGGTGGGCCGACTTCAGCTTTATTAGTCGAAATGCGTTTGGTGGACTCACGCGAATCTAGATTTTAACGGAAAAGAACAAGTAAATTACCATCTATAATTACTAGGGACGACTACGCTTATCATCTTTCTCACCAAATGCTGCGTGCCTCCATGCCATATGCCAAAGCCCACCAGCGATCACGCTGGTCTCAAAGATCACCATGGTTCGCCATTTGCCGTGGAATCCTGCTGACTGACGCACACCGGAAAAAGAACAAACAAGAACTTCTCAAAATGATCTGAATTCTTTCAAGAAATTCCCGATGAGCAATCCGGATTTCAAGAATTCCATTGTTCTTTACAAGGATATGTTCCCTCTGGGCACAGTTTTTCCGCCCCAAACACGTGTGGTTGGAGGCCATTCCTATTAGTAACTCAAAAGAACATTGAAATAAAACATATATAGGTATATACTATATACTATATATACTATATATATACTATATATATACTATATATATACTATATATA